TTGGTTAGGCAATCTCGTGAAGAGGGTTGTCCTTTAGCTTAGGATTGTACGAATGATAAATTCCCATACTATCGGTCGTAGCTTCCGAACCAATCCGCAGGAGCGTAGACATATTTACCCTTTCCTTTCTTAATCTCCGTTCTTACATCTGTTCACAATCATCAATATGTTGTTTTGTATTACTTTTTCTAGATATTCCTTTTCCAGAATAAATTTGAGTTATTATTTCCAGTACTTCTTCCCAGAACTCAGAATTGGTGAGTCGTAGGCTTCTTATGACCATGCTCCGGAGTATTCATACCTTCATTTCATAAGTATGGTTAGAATGGAATGCGATTTCCTTTGGAAAGTGATTTCTTGATAGTTTCCTCGGAGTGAATGACCTCCACATCCAATACCCAGAATGCGCGTAGGAAACTACTTGTGGCTGTTGGATATGATTAGAGCAAGAGAAGGTTTGATTGGACTAGAATCTAGCTTAGACTATCAGACCTCATGGGACTCATGAGAATTGTGTCCACACAATACATTTGCAATGGAGCGCAATCAAATGCGGCAACATTGACGGACGGAGCAAGTTCCTGCTGAAATGGTCGTACTATCATTCCTCTTTCTGTCCTGGTCGATCTACCTATCCTCTACCCTCTTGCTTCACTTTCGCCATATCACAACTTCTGACTTGTTTACAGTCTACTCGTCAAAAGGTGCACTCTTTTTGACAAGTTTAGCGTGGCCGATAGAAAGAGAGGAAGAAAAGGGAAACAGCAGGTGAAATGGGGCCACACTAAACATGTCAAAAGATATACATCTTTTGGCTAGTTGAATGTAAACGAGTGAGGAGTTATGATAGAACGGGAGTGGAATAAGAGGGTAAGGAGTAGAGATTGGTCAGTAAAGAAGAGAAGTGATAGCACAACCATTTCGGTAGAAAGTTGCTCAAGGGATTGATTAAACTTGTTTATTTGGTGAGTTGTAACATAGTGCTGAGAATGACAAGATTTATGATAATGTTCACTACAATGCCAGCGAGACGTCTGAGAATACACCAGGTCCACGGTCTGACGCTGGGGTTTATGGCAACTACTATGACTGAAGACTTCGGACAAGGTGCGTCCGACTAAGTCGCCCTGACATCAAGAACAAGTTACGGAAACTAGGTCAACCCACTTGTATAAAATCGGCTGTCCGTACACCAAAATATCTCAAAATTTTAAAATTAAACTAATTTCCAAATACATTATAAAGTTAACTAAAATTGAAGCTAAGCATCTTATCGTCTATACAACCTATCATCGAAGGTTAAACAGGTATCCCTTATTATTAAATTAGTCGACCTAAGGATTTGATTTCTTATCCCTTATTATCTCAGGATACTGATCTAAAACTAACTCCAAAGCGAGTGTTGCTGTTAATACTGGAATATAAAGGTACGTAGACAATACCTAGAAGCTTACAACAAAACGACCATCTTCCACCAACTTTCATCTACTAGAATGACAATGAAATGAAATTACATTTTGCCAACAGGCTGAGAGGACATAAATGCAAAATTTGGCAGGTAAATGGAAGGCCGTGCTTCTTATTTTTATTGAATTTTGGTTAATTAAGCCACGTTTTCTAATAAATTTTCCTTCGCAATCCCGAACGTCGAAACAAGGGATCCAAGTTGAAGATTTTCAGATGCACCAAGCGAAAGGCGATATTCAATGTCTGAGAGGCTTATCAAAAGTTCACAGCGAATTTTGTCTGGTATGGACACTAGCAAAGGTTAAAAAAACAGCCAGTTAAAAATTAATGCAGCACTTGCACAATAATACATAAGAATAAATGATGTCTACAATTTAGCGTTAAAATAATGTTAAATTGTATCAGCAAATTTTTTGGCTGCTTAAAGGTTGATTGCAAGCGCAAATTGAGGTTAGAAGAGAAGTTAGGTCCGGGAATAAACAAAGCAAATAAGCAAAAAATCCAACATCGCTAAGCCAAATATATTAGAAGTTAATATAAAATAATATAGTTTTAACAATACTGGATAAAAATAAAAGGTAAGAAAATGAATCGAAAAAGCTAAGCTATCTAGTTTGTAAGAAAAATAGTTTTAGTAAACAGACAAATACTTACTTTGCAAGACGAGAGGGTGCAATTCAGTGACAATGTCTTGGAGAGCTATGCCCTTGAGGTATTTCAGCTTTTCAACAGCTAGTTAAAGTGAACAAAAGAACATCGTTTATAAAAGGGTCAAAACAGGACTGATGAAATCGACCACTAGAGACTCGGTTCCCAAAGGACCATAAGAAAATCTAAAGGATTAAGTGGAAGTTAGTAAGACTCTATGTGTCACACCAAGTATCCCAGATCCCATCAACATGCAATTATCCAACTTCATACGAATATCTTCTAGACGTATATAGTCTGAGTTGGCCTAGATTGACGCATTAAACAACAAGTGGAAAGTTAGAGTACTTCAGGTTAGTGACAATCGGATAGTTAAGGACAAATTCAAACAAAAGTAGATGCAAGTTTGACTTTTAATGACAGGTTAATCAAAATTAAATTGCAGTGAAAAATACGCAGCATATACCACAACTAATCTATGAAAACATAAGAATAAGTGCAGCATAACTAATCCTAAATTCTAAGTTGCATTATAATTGATAAAGAACATGGGAGCCCAAACCAAAGTATCAGGAAAAGCAGTAATGACAATGTTAGGTAAAATTTTAAAGGCTAATAAATCTTCTTTGTCCATAAACTTTACTTTTATATGCTCCGCTAATGTCATTGGTGAGCATTTCCTGAAGAATTGAACGAATTTCTTTTGGCGAAGGATAGGCAACGCAGGCATAAACATTATTTTCATTGATTTCAGAAAAAGACATTGAAGCACTCTAATAATAAAATAAACGCAAAAGCGCAGAGTATTAATTATCAATAAGCCACAAAATAAATTT